AGGAAGTTTCTGTGCTCCACCCTGTACTTTAAGAACAAGGTGAGGATGAGTGGAATGGGTGACTTGCAGGATCAGTATTCCACATGTACACATCCTCTTCTCACATAGCATGAATGTTGCTTTTTCCACATAACAGCAATATTTACTTGTTGCTTGCATGAGAAAAGTAGCTCATTGTGATTGAGACTGCCCTTTCACTGGCACTACCAATTATGAAACTTCGATTCCACACACATCATATGAAACCAGTTTCACTTGATGCTCACACACTGAAGTGACCAACGGAGTATTTAATTTCTTGCTTGGTATCCTGACATGTCTTGAGAGGTGGACGACATTATTATGTGGTTTATCATCTGTAAGAAAAGGAGGTTGCTTTAGATGCATCCATGTAGCAGAAGGAATTTAGATCACAGAACCTTCATTGCTGCCAAAAAACTGTTACAGGGTGACAGAAGATTTCAATGTTTTTATTGAATGGGCAAGAAGAATTTCACTAAGTGGTTAGGATAGTTGGCCCAGCAGTAACTAAGAAAGATACCAACCTTAGGCAGTACATAGGAGTTGAAGAGATTATTAGTAACACTTGGGTGAGAAAAAATATTTATTTACTACAATACATTTAGATTACAAGTCGTTTTCTTGAAAGAAATGCTGATCATCAGAATCAGATGCATCATATTGCTGAACTGTATTGCATAAGATGTCTGTGTACTGGTTGCTGGATGAAGTAGATAGACATACTGATGAACTTAATCCACCAGTTAGAGTAGAACTGAAACCTGACTTTGCAGTGGTGATACTGCCAGCCAGGCCTTAACTGTCAGTCATTTCTTTGACATCATGGAGCAGGTTTAGAAGGAACTGTTTGTGGGGATCATCATCAATCGCATATCAGTTCCTCATGGTCAAATCTTCATGAGTGATCTGTCAACATCACATAAAAGGTATAAGACATTTTCTTTTTCTTTCCCATCAGACTCATCTGCTGTCACATCTGTTTGTAACTCACTGCATGCTTGCCTTTCATTCAATCCAGTTGCAATTTCTGTCACATTAACATCATTGCAGTTGTCTTTTTGGATCTTAATGTAATCACATCCAAACTACCAAGAGAGGGAAGGTTTCCTGGTGTTTCAGTTGCTGTATTTACGTTCTCGTATGGCAAAAGGATGTGCACATAATTCATCAGATATTATTGTTGAGCCCATTTCATTAGTTATTAAGTATAATTTTTGTAAGATTGAATGTTTATGTTAAAACGCCAGATGGCTGGCCAGAAGGCAAGGAGACAGCCGCGGCTGACTCTTCGCATTCCTTGGCAGTCGATCGAATTGTCTTTAGAAAAGACTGTTTAAGCATCAGTGGAGAGACCCGGTCAGGTTTCGCTTAGCGCGACAAGGCATGTCCGGCAAGATGCCGACCTCAGGGATTTCGCACGCGCAGCTTTCGCAACTTGGGAAAAAGTTGAATCTTGAAATTGGGAAAACAGGCCGTTTCAGGCACTCTGTTTCTAGCAGTTGCCAGAAATGAACGAGTAAAGCAAAGTGTGCCTGTGGAAAACCTTGGGATGGCGCCAGTGTTTTTCATGTGCATCATGTTTAGCGCGAGTGAGTACTTGCCCGTGGTCGGGTCACTGATGGCTTATTAGAACTTCTGGTTTAAATTATTTTGGTGGGTTAATGTGTTCTTAGAATTTAGAGGTGTATAAGTGTTTTAATTTGATTATATATTCCATTTTTGTTGTTGTTTGGAGAACTCGAGTTTTTGTGACCCTCCTAGTGAAGCATGTTTTCCACAGCATAGGTTAAGTGATATCCACGGACGTCCGATAGGGGGTGAGTATGGTCACTGCCCCTTATCCGGGCACAACATTATGCCTCCCCCTTCCTAATCCACTGGAGAGAAGCTGAAGTTTTCTATGAAAATGGTGCAAAGATGTGTCCACTTTTCTTTGCAATTAGGTACTGAAAGGGATAATATTCATCAGATACCGTATTTACGCATGTATAGGCCGCACATTTTTTGCCAAAAATTCAAGAGGAAAACTGGGGTAGGGCTTATATTCGAAATATTCGAAATCACACTTCATTTAAAAAAAATTATATTCATAATTAGTAATACAGGGTGTTCAAATATCGAGGAAACCAGGGCAGCAGCGTAGAGCGGAAGGAACGTTTCTCCGCGACTACTGTGCCCCTCCCCGCTAGCGAGAGTGCAGTCGTGTTGCTGATACCCTTACATCAGTTTCTGTACATGTGCACATTTATAAGAATACTGTAAAAAGATAACGCAAACTTACCGTGCTTTATAAGAGGTGCTGAAAGTGACCCCCTTCTGCTTGCAAACATGCTTCGCATCGCATGAATAAATTATGTGACACTTTCTGAAGTTGGTCCACGGTAATTGAACCATATTACTGTTCATCACTTGACTCGTTACTGTCGATGTCGCTCTTGCTCGAAGTTTCGCTGTCAGGTGATGTCAGTCATACAGCGTCATCTTCAGTCCCGTCCATTGCATTTGAAATGGATGTGACTTTAAAACTTTTGGAAACCATTTCTTCTGGTATGGTGTTCCATGCAGCCACAATCCACTCACACATTTGACTTAATGAAGGTTTCTTCAATCGTCCAGTCGGCATCATCTCCGTGGAACTGCTCGATTTCCGTGTTCTTGTGCGTAATGCACCACTTGAAGTTTAAATTTAGACATATAACCTGCTCTTACTCGACCCATGTTTCACTCAGAACTAACCAGGCAAGTCAAGTAAAGGCGAAAAGGTTATAACTCTCCCCCGCAATGCCTTTGTTCCGAGCGGTACCGTTATTTTCGCTAGTTGCGAACTTAGGAATGTTAAAAGTTGCCAAATTTCGGAATAATTTCTACTCCTGAAATAATATTCCAAGAAAATTATTTTTTCTATAATTTCTGTCTAAAAATTGTGCTGCGGCCTATACATGCGTAAATACGGTATGTCTGTTATCAAACATGTCAGTTGAGTAGTCATAAGTAAGGGAACATATAATGGAAACAGCAATTATGTTTGCAATGCATGTATGATATTTTTTGTTATTAATTTCAGCACTACTTATAATAGCAGTTTTTACAGATATTTGTATATGGGATTCAGATTCATGGCTCTTGCATTCTACTTTGTACTAGGAAATAATACAATTAGCATAACTGTGGCAGACACTACAAAGGCAATGTTGGAGTGACTGCACCAGGAAAATATCTCAGTGCCAAATGAGGCAGGCTGGGGAACTACAGCACATTATTTCACCAGATCAAAAACTTCCAAACTGCATGGAAGTGACAGAGAACACATCCTTATACATGAATTTCAGATTAAACTTCAGCTACAAATAATACCACTCACTTGTGCTCGTGGCTTGTTGTAATGCAGATGGGATCGTAAAATTATTATGTATGCCGTGCAGGCCAAAATAGTGGTAGTGAAGTACTTTGGGCGTCTGGGATACAGGTTGGAGACAAGGGGTCTCAATTTGCCTGCTGGTAGAGCTTTACTGCTATTAGAAACATTTTCCCTTGCCATTTGGCTGCTGATGAAGCATTCCCACTGAAACCATATTGAATGCTTCCACATCTAATGAAATCACTGTCAACAGCATTTACAGATTTGTTTTCTACACCAGCTTCATGTGGAAAAGAGACAGACTTGTTTATAAGCTGTAATTCCCTATGGAAACACAGATATTACTGACACTGGACCTCTACATGGATGAACAATATTGATTATCTTACTAATTCCTTTGTAAAACCAGAAGCAGCATTGCCTTACCAATGGAAGAACTGCATACAAATCACCCTCATGATGCAATGATGTCTGATTAACAAACATCTGGATGTTCAGGCAGATTCCTTTTCTTCAAAGATTTCTCCTTAAACTTTCCATAATGCGTTTTGCTTTGCTTCTGAGTAATCTGTAGCAATTCTGTAGTTCTTACAATTTTGTTTGATGTGTATATCTGTGTTATCCTCTGCCTGACTTTCAATGATTATTTTAAAATTAACATTTTTGTGCATGAATATCAAATGTCTACTGATTAATATTATAACATTACTTAACTAACTCCATGGAACGGCATCCTTCTTGAGAAGCCACCATTTTCTCAATTACCCAAGAATTTCCCAATATTTTATGAAACCAAAGGTTCATTACCAGGTTCACAAGAGTATTCACGAGGTTCTATCCAGAGCCAAACAAACCCAGTCCACACTAGTCCATCCTACTTCTCTAAGATCCATCTTAATATTAATCTCCCACCTACATCTAGGTCTTCATAGTGGCCTCTCTCCTTCTGGCTTTCCCACCAAAACTCTACATGCAGTCATCTTCAGCTCCATGCATGCTGCATGACCTGGCCATCTCATCATCCTAGACTTGATCATTCCAATATTATAACATGGATTTCTATATTTATAGATTACCTGTAAGAACAATAATAAATAAATAGAAATAATACATAACTGTATCTTCAATTTCTTTGGCTACTTTCTCCCATATGTTGTCATTAGCTTCCATTTTTTAATATTCTGACAGCACGTAATTATAAACACACAGATATTTTTCAGCCTCATAAATTTCATGATGTACAATACACTTGTCTTTTGCCACTGCAACAGACACACAATAAAAGAACCATCTCTTGGCACACTAACCTCACTACTTCTCTGCAACTATGCAACTGTGGTAAGAAGATGGTTCATTTGATAACATGCGACTGTGGTTACGAAGGCTGCTGGAAGAGGTCTCATAAAAAGTGATGTGACTGTTGCAAACAAAAGGAACTGCATGTTGGATATAGCCATTTTCCTGCAACCAGCTGCACAAAAGGGGAAAACACCCTAGCATATATTGCAAAACTCATTCTTTTGCTCTCTATACAAGACCTGTATTCATACGGTTTTTCCACTGTTCATTTTTATGTTCATTACCTATGGTTTGTTTTCATTTATTCTGTGTGCGGTTGCAGATAAGGAGGGAGTTACATGTGACAGCAGCAGCTGTATGCAATCTAGCTCCAACTATCAGTGCTGGGTCCAACATAAATAGCTTCACCTGGTTCTCTGCCAGTCAAAATATGTGAATAATGTGATTTTGTATCATTCTGATGTCTTCTTTCATCACATCACATGTTAACAGACCTATATATATGAATTTTGCTTTTGTTTGTTTACATATTTATTTGTCTCTTTTCTCTGCTTCCTATGTTTGCTTTTTTATGTCCTCATTCTCATTCTTGTCTTCTTGAATACTATGTCTTACCTCTTCATTTTGTTGCAAGAATATATCCCAGTTTCTTAGTTAAAAGAGTTCTGATCAACAGGTTCCGCACATACAGCTGTCGTATTAGCTCATTGGGATGGATATTCACTTTTTCATACATATTTGTTACTAGAAGTTGGTGATATTTATCCAGTTTAAGAACTGAGAAATCTGTACGTAATAAGTTCACATTTGTGAAGCCCTACATTTGTTTTCAGAAGTGCTTGTTAATAGAGGCTGATAATACCAAGGGTGATCAAGTGGGGATGGAAGGGAAAGAAATGAAGAAATTTGGTTATACTCTTGGAATCCCACAGGATATACACGAGGCTATTCGGTTCTACAAGAACATTTATTTCATTCAGTTATCTGTTGTATGAGAACAGTGACATATAACTGTCAATACGGGATACCAATCACACAGTTTTACTGAGTGGAACTATGGTTTAACATGAGCTCTAGTCTGTAGTAGGAGTTCATACTCCCCACGTTAAAAATGTTTTACTTGGAGATGAGAAGGGGTTTGGCAAGTGACAAAATTTGCACTAGATCCATGTCTTGAACCTCAGACTTTTTGTATGGCATGGCAGCACCATGAGATCAAAAAACTTCTGAAAAGTGTCAGGCACTTACCTTCTGGAATTTTAAGTGCAATTTCATTTTAGAAGTTTTATAATTATGATTATGTGAGATTCCTTGCTGGATACTGATAGCAAAATCTTTCTTTCTCCAGAACATTTGGTGAAATATCAAAATGTGGCTATTACATAAGCAAGTAAAATACTGTAGATAGTTATGTGACAACTGGCAATTTAACTTTTATTATGTTGTACTTAAGCACCATGTTGCATTAATATTAGTTTCATACATATATATTACCATCTTAAATACAATACTATGAGGGGTAGTCAAAAAGTTCCCAGAATGGTGGTATAGCACTGTAATGGTAGGACATACGGCAACGCTTATGTAATCACCTTCAAAGTAGGACCCTTGCTCCATCGATCCTGCCATTGTTGGAAGCACCGGTGGAAGGCTTCTTTTGGAATCTTCTGGAGCTCAGCCGTCGCATTCAATTTGATGTCCTCCGTGGTTGTGAAACGTGTCCCCTTGAGGCCCATTTTCAGAGTAGGGAACAGCCAAAAGTCACTCAGAGCGAGATCCGGAGAGTACGGTGGTTGAGTGATGACAGGAATGTTTTTCTGAGCAAGGAATTGCTGCTCAACAAGCCATGTGTGACTCAGTGCATTATCATAATACAGAAACCACTGTCCCTGCCACCTGTCGCATTGCGCAACCTCTGCAAAACTTGCATGTAGAAATGGCCAGTAACAGTCTGTCCAGGCGGTATGAACTCATGGTGCACCAAACCGTCAATGTCAAAGAATGCAAGGAGCATCACTTTGTCTTTGGATCTGACAAGGCGTGATTTTTTTGGCTGGGGAGGCGACGCTGTGCCCCACTCCGATGACTGCATCTTCATCTCCGGGTCATAGGCGAACACCAATGACTATCGTTTTGAGAAACGTTGGTCCTGCGTACTTTTGTCAAACAGATCGCCAGCGACCATCATGTGACATTCCATCTGATGTGGTCAGCTGCCTCGGAACAAATTTCACACGAACGCGTCTCATCTTCAAATCATCAAACAAAATGGCATGAATGGATCCATGAGAGCTACAAATTTCTTGCTTCAACTCCGCAATGGTCATTCTTCAATCACATTGAATCAGCTGTCGCACTTTTCCAATCATTTCTTTGGTTCTGGATGTCGAAAGTCTCCCGCTGCGCTGGTCATCCTCTAACGTCCCCTGCCCATTCTTAAACCAGGAAAACCAGTCGTAAACTGCGGATTTTCTTAGTGCAGTATCACTGTAAACTTGCTGCAGGGCCGATTGCGTCTCTGAAGCAGATTTTCCCAATTTACACATGAACTTGATGTTTGCATGCTGTTCAAACTGCAACATTGTGCCGAATGACCAACACTCACATCTAATTCAAACAGAACAGTAATGACACAGCACACTGAAACCTGTCCAGACCTGTTGTGCCTGCGAGCAGACATGCTGAGCTCCCCACTACAACAGTATGTGCACTATCTTATCGCTCGTTCTCCGTCTGCAAGGGGAATTCCGGGAACTTTTTGACTGCCCTACATATGTATGAAACTTAAATTGTTACTGTATGTCATAATGGGATATTTAATATCCTCCTTCATCCACAGATGCACAAAGTGTAAAAGTTAAAGCATGTTACTTCTCATTTCAATGTAACAGCATACAATAAAAATTTTATCTGTGATGATGTGTTTTATGATTGAGTAATGTAACATTTACATCATAGGTTGGTAATTTTGTTCCAGATCACAGTTTGCATGGAAAACACTTTCATGAACTGTATAAAGGAAGTTAATGCATGTACTTAGTACAGCAAACATTCAAGTGAAATTTGTGAATCAGTGAACACACATCACGATCACTGGGGGGAATGAGTATCCACCTGTACATATCTGACAAAAAACATAGGAAAGTTCCACCACTCAAGTAAAAACCAAATGGACAAAATGTAAAATGTTAGACCATTGCAGTCGTAACTTATGTGGAAGAACAAAATGTCTACCTAAAATATAGATCTTTACATGTACATACATAAGTGACTTGAAAGGATTCTGACGATGGTGTATAATATACTTCTTTTGGCTTATTTTGGACTTCATCCATCATCCAGTATGTAAAAGACAAAAGACCACGATGTTTCGGAGACTGGATCTGTCTCCGTCTTCAGGTGGGTAGGGAAGGATAACCTACCCAGTTGGACTCATTAGAAAGAGCTAGTCTCAATCACTGGACGATTGAGACTAGCTCTTTCTAATGGGTCCAACTGAGTAGGTTTATCCTTCCCTACCCACCTGAAGACGGAGACAGACCCAGTCTCTGAAACATCGTGGTCTTTGTCTTTTACATACTGGACAATGGATGAAGTCCAAAATATGTACATAATTCATCCATAATATGTATCTATTTACCTTACACTATATAATTTTAATAGAAATTGTGTAATACTGCTAAAGGAAACCATATTTTTAGCTCACCTTATGACAGTTTTTATTTATTTGTTTATCCTTGTTATAATGCAAATTTACAAAGTTTTTGAGAAGACTTTTATAAGATGTTGCATGGTTGTATTTGTTGCTTTTCTGTGTTGCATAGTACTATGGAAAATTAAAGTTTGGAAACCTCTATTTGTGATTGTGCTGTAAAGAAATGAGCATGAAGACATTATTAATACCACTTCTGAAAATACAAATAGTATGTTTCTGGATATTATCCATTGTCCTGTTTTTATCTAAAACATCATCTTGTCTTTATTTAAAAACATGTTTCAGAGACTGAATAAAAAGGGGACACTGGATAATGTCCAGAAATAAAATGTGTGTGTATTAATGTACCACTGTCACAAACTTTTAGATCTCATTTACTTCTGAAAATTATAAGCCCTCTTGCATGGAAATTTGACACACCTGCTTAGTTTCATCAAAGTATATCTTGCCCTCATTAACATGAGCGAAAAGTATGAACTTTGTTAGCACAAAAATATAAAACGCTGGAGTAATCCAACAACCAAAACAGTATACTTAAAAAAATAAAAAGTCTGAGTATTACCATGTGCTAATTTTCTGCTAATGGCTGTTTTTTAGGTACTGGCAGTGGTTTGGAAATCTGTGAACTGTGTTAAGCATTCATATTGTACCTTTGTTAATGCTTTAATGGGTCAGAGTTGGTTTGAGAGACCCTTGGTGAAGCTGATTAACCGTTTTAATTCAGGATATGTTGACCAATTAGGACAGGTATTTAATTTTAAATCAGATGATTGTTTACCTTGTGAAAAATATACATAATGTAAACTCAACACATGTACCTTCTGAAAGTACCCATTTCAAATCTCGGTCATGAGTATGTTTGTAAAAAATTGTTCATGGTTTTCCTTGGGTTTTCCAGGCAAATGACAGCATATATGCCACAAGTGCTTTGTACCCCACCCATCTCTCTTCATTATACATAACTATTTCTGTGTTCCATGTGGAGATCTTAATTAAATCAGAAAACCCGGAAATATACTGAAAATGTGACACTGAAATTCCATAGGTCTCAAAAGTAAAATATTTAGTGATCATAATGAACAAAGCCCTTGGTGTGAACAATTTGGATTTATAAAATATGTGGCATTTATGTAAGAACCCCTCCCTCCATAATGCTAGCATCTAGTTCCAGAGAAATGTCCTTTCAACTCAGAGAGGGAATAAGGCATGACAAGCAGGAATGTTAATAATCTGTATAGAAGCAAGTGTTCCTTGTTTGGTCAAAACATTAGTGGGCATAAACTATTTCCTAAATATATTTGCTGCATTCAGAAACAAGTAATTTTAGAATTATAACTGAACTGAAAAAATAAGTTTACAGCCTATATTTGGAAAAAAGAATGTTAAATATATTTGAAACTAAATGTTGGTTATGAGGAATGAAAAAATGTTTATTCCTCTATTGAATTATTTAATCTAATTCTTTCCATGTTAGGTGGGTCCATAGGCCATGCCATAGCTCAAGCGGTTAGTCGCTGGCTGTCCACTGTGGCGGCCCGTGTTCGATCCCAGATCTAGTCAAGTGGGATTTGTGGTGGACAAAGTGGCGCTGGGGCAGGTTTTCTCTGAGTACTTCGCTTTTCCCTGGCAATCTTCATTCCACCAATTGCCCCACAATGTCAGAAGTATGGGGCTGGTTTGCTCAGGGCAGTGGCAGAAGAAATCTCAAGTTAGATATAGTGGGAGTACAGGAGGTCAGATGTGACAGAAGCAGCACTGAACCAGCATGAAAATATACATTTTTCTATGGAAGGGGGAATGAGAATCATGAATTAGGTACAGGTTTTTTCGTACATAAGAGAATGATATCAGCAGTTAATAGGGTAGAGTTTGTTAGTGATAGGATGTCATACTTAATAGTAAGAGGTCTCTGGTGTGATATCTTTCTGAATGTTCATGCCCCAACAGAGGACAAAATGGAAGATATTAAGGACAGGTTCTATGAAGAACTAGAACATGTACTTAATAAACTCCCTAAATATCATATGGAAATTATGTTAGGAGTTTTCAATGCCAATGTAGGTAGGGAAGACATTTTCAAACCAACAATTGGGAATGAGAGTTTACACGAAATTAGTAATGATAATGGTGTTAGAGTAGTAAACTTTGCCACACCCAAAAATCTTATTATCAAAAGTACAATGTTCCCACATCATAACAGTCATAAATTTATCTCCTGATATGAAGATGCACAACCAAACTGACCACATTTTGATAGACAGGAGATGGCATTCAAGTATACCTGATGTCCGATCATTCAGGGCAGCAGATTGTGATACCACTATCTGGTGGTGGCAGCAGTTAATGACTAACTGGCAGCGAGTAAACAAACAGTGTACAAAGTTCATATGGAGAGGTTCACTGTCAAGAAATTAAATGAGGTAGAGGGTTGAAATCTCAAACAGGTTCACAGCTTTGGAAAGGTGGATATTAATAGAGCCTGGGAAACTATTACAGAGAATACAAATTTTCTGCCAAAGAGAGTCTAGGTTATTATGAACTGAAGAAACATAAGCCATGGTTCGATGAAGGACGATCAAAATTATTAAACCAAAGGAAACAAGCGAAATTGCAGTGGTTACAGGATCCAAGTGAAATAGATGGGGATAATCTGGGCAATGTAAGATGTGAAACCAGTAGGCATTTCATGAATAAAAACAATATCTGAAAGACAGAATTGATAAGCTTGCAACAAACAGTAAGAACAAGAATATTAGAGACCTGTATAGAGGAATAAATGACTTTCAGAGGGGTTACCAACCTAGAAGTAACTTAGTGAAGGATGAGAATGATGATCTGCTTGCAGATTCAAACAACATTATGAACATGTGGAGGAACTACTTC